TATTAGGAGAGAATCCACCTCTCGAAAGTGGAATTATCATCCAATTTAGTTGTAGTTCTCATCTTAATGCTATAATCATCTTCTTCATCTTAATTTCTGCCATTAATTTCTTCATCCAATTTAGCTTGATTACAGCACTATTAATGGCAGAAATTAAGATGAAGAAGATGATTTACTAAATTGGATGATAATTCCACTATCGAGAGGTGGATTGTCTCCTAATATGAGCTTTCGAGGGGCTCACTCTCTCCCAATAACATTACCTCGACAATATTCAACATGATGATTATTCTTCTAAATGAGGCCAATTTATAGAAATACTCCCATAACAAACTCTAACTTATTCCCCAAGCTACTACTAAATACTAATAGACTATGACTAATATGCCCTTCCCCTAAATATTGATTCCTCGCAATTTTCTTGCGACAATGCTGCTCTGTCCCTTGGAAAACATTTGAGAGGGCTTTGGAAGTTATAGACTCTTAAGTGAGCCTTGATAAATTGAAGGAAAGGTTTGCTTCATTGATTTTCCTTAATCAAAATTAAATTTGGTTTAACTTATGTTATGGCATGCAGGCATGACCGAGCTATAAAATAAAAAAATATGTATAAAATAAATATTTTAAAAAAAAAAACTTTTCAACTACTAAGCAGTAACCAAATTTAATTATTGAAAAACATTGTAACTTTTGAAAACAGGATGATAAATGTTAATCAATGCAAATAGTGCATATCAATGAGCCAATTTGATTTGATATTACTCAATATTATTGAAGAGTTTCTATAGTACTAACTTTGAGTAAGAAATTAAAAGGTAATAAATGTTCATGAAATCAAGAGGAGCTGAGGAGTGTTTAGGCATTCAGTTATGCATAGCTAGACTTTTCAAGGCTGTGTAAACATCAGATCTAGCTTATATCATAAAGGCAACTCACTTTTAAGTAAAGGAAATTGCAACTCATATAGAGTGTCATCATGAGGAGGGCTGAATGGAACAGCCGCAAAGCTTTCACCTTTTGTATGTCTCATAATAAGTGTAAAGGTTTCACTTTTTGTATGTCTCAAAATAGTTTAACATTTCTTTCTCATGATTTTGCTTGTGCTCACACTAGTTTATGGTGTGTCAACACTACTTTATTCCCTTTCTTGGATCAAGAGTGCTAAGTGAATTTATTGCATTTATTTTAGGCGGGAGATATCAATTATAGATTTCTACCTAGTTAGGAAATATTTATAGGCTACGTGCAAAAAATTCGAGGTATGGAATGGAGAAGAAAGAGGATGAAATTAAAGAAAGGTGTTAGATTGAATAAAGTTCTGGATGAAATTAAAGAAAGGTGTTAAAACGAATAAGTTTCCTATTGATGCGTGGCGATATCTTAGGCTGGTGTTGAACAGTCATATATTTTTTCATTAAGTTGTGAAAAACCTACAAATCGCAGAAAACTGGAGGAAGTGCACTTTAGTGTTAACTTTCAAAATCAAAGGTGATGTACAATGTTTTGAACATGGTACCAGTTATTGAGAATAAATTGAATGATAATTGACTGAGGGTGGTTTTCATTTTATGTATTTAGCATGAAGAGCATACCGTAGAATTAAAAGTTAGGATGATGAAGATATTAAAAGGGTTAAATTACACCAAGCAGCATCAGCGGCCATAGGAGTATGAAATGAGATTTAAGGAGTATTGTGCTTGGTCTAATTTGTATCTTTACCTTTAAGAACTCAATTTGCGCTTCGATCATTGATAGGAGTAGAAATGTAAAATATTGGAATTCTGTCTTGTCTCTTTGAAATTTTTGTACGATGTTTGACCTTTCTTGAAACGTTTTATCATGCCTTTTGTTCTGCAACTTACTCAAACAAGAACCGCAATATCTATCCTTTTGCTAGACCTTTACAGGATTTATTGTTTTCCCATCGCATTCTGAAAATAAGTTCGTTACATTGCCTTTTGGTGTTGGCAGTCTTTTGTGCAGTGTTTCTGGCTAATATCTCAAAGAGAGCTCCTGTTACAATTTTATTTAATTTTTTTTTTAAAAAAGAAAAAGACCATAATGGCCCATTTTTCCTTTGCTTATATTATGCAGCCTCCAAAAATTTACTTATGCTGTTGTATTTTTGCAGGCACCTTTCCGATGTTTTATGGGAAGCTATTCGTAATGGTCAAGTTCTTTCATTATATCAGGGTTTAGGGACAAAGAACTTTCAATCTGTTATACAACAGTTTATTTATTTCTATGGGTACAGCTTTTTAAAGAGGCTTTACCTGAAGAAAAGTAATTTCAAGTCAATGGGCACAAAAGCAAATCTGATTGTCGCTGCTGCTGCTGGGGCTTTAACTGTCGTCATTACACAGGTTGTTAGTTGCTCTTATCCCTTGTTAATAGTAACTCTGAATATTGCATGGATATATCTCGGTTACATGTTTTAAGCTGCCAACTTCTTGAGTTTCACACACTTGATAATCCTGACTGAAGATTTTTATTTTTGGTTTTCATGAAAATAACTGTAATCACATGTCTCTCTATAACACTTTGTTTGGATAGAAGGAAATGGAAGGAAAAGAAAGGGAGGGGTGACAAACTCTCTTATTTGGGTAAAGGATTGGGGGAAGGAAGAGAAAGGAGAGGGAGGGATCCATTTTCCCTCTCTCTTTAATAAGCATAATGCCTCTAAAATTAGAGAGATTTGGAGGGAAAATAGAGCTCACCTCCCCCTCCTTTTCTTTCCCCTTCCCTTCCTCCTATACCCCTTCCTTTCTTTCCTTGTTTGCTATCCAAACAAAGCGTTAGTGAATTATCAACTTCTTGCTTTATATTTTTTTTGGTTGTGTGTGTGTGTGAGTGTGTGTGACCTGTGTGTGTGTGTGTGTGTGTGAGAGAGAGAGAGAGAGAGAGAGAGAGTGAGAGAGAGATCACCAGGTATAAAAGGTTAGCACTTAGCTTGGCATGATCAAGAATTGGTGTCAATTTTAGAAATTGGAAAAAAAAAGGATACAAGATGGGCAAAAAAATGAAGCAAAGTTGCTTTTAAGATGGAGATAGAAATAAGGCTCTTGGGATGGAGATAGGTAAAGGGTCCCAATAATACTTCCTATGTTTCAAAAAGATATTTTATTACTTTGAATTGACTAGCACGCTCGCCATTATAAAAATTTACAATGAAACGAACTCAAGAACATTTTACTTGATAATACGAAACAATTGCTTTCAATAAAATCTTGTGGAAAACTTGGTATATGGATAGTGCAACACTAAATGGTGTCGTAATTATTATGAAACTGAGGATGTGTATCAATCATTGACTTTGACTAAAATGTATTATTAATTTAGATACCATAAAATACCAAGTGTGAAGTTCTTGGGACGGTAAGTTTGCCAAGGCCAGCGTGTCTATAGTTCTGAAGTAAATGGATCTGCTAATTTATATAAGAATCTTGCTTGGAATATGGTCTCATGCCCATGGCTTTGCCTTGAGTTGACAGCCTTTGGATACAGCATCATCCAAGATGCAAACTAGCGAGTTTGGAAAGGCAAAAGGGTTCTGGAAGACCCTTACTGAAGGGAATTGGAGTGGTGCTTTTGATGGCCTTGGCATCTCTCTCCTATTGACTGCGAATCCATCTATCCAGGTATGTAATTCCAAATCCTGGTTTGATGCTTGTTATGTTGCAGATGTTTAGTTTAGCAGGCATATATTCCAATCAACTGCTAACAAAGCTGACTTCTTCTTTATTGACAGTACACAGTTTTTGACCAGCTCAAAAACAAACTCCTGATAACCAAAAACAAAAATTCTGACTCATCCCCACACGCTCTCTCTGCTTCCACTGCCTTTTTGTTGGGGGCTCTCTCAAAGACTATTGCCACCTGCTTGACTTATCCGGCTATTAGGTTGGTATATCCTTTGTTTCCCCTCTTTCTTGTTTGCTACTTCAACAGACAAGAATACTTTCCTTTTATGAAAGAAAGCATATAGTCATGATTATTGTAATTTGGATTGATGTGAAATGTCGTGCAGGTGTAAGGTTGTGATTCAGGCTGCAGAGAGAGAGGAAGAAAAGCTTCCAAATACACAAAAGAAAGAAAGTAAAACTATCTCAAGAATATTCTGTAACATCTGGAAACATGAAGGAATTCTTGGATTTTACAAGGGTTTACATGCCCAAATTTTGAAGACTGTTTTGAGCTCTGCCCTCCTTCTGATGATTAAGGAGAAGATCACAAAGACTACTTGGGTCCTGATGCTTGCTCTTAAGAGATACCTATTGACAACTAATGCGAAATTGAAAAGTGCTTGAGTTTATTGTGATGGAATTATTGTGTATATAACAAAGACTTCTTTAGGCTGTGAAGCTTAGAAGAATTTGTCAATAATGCAGAAGAGATCAGTGGACGGTGAATGCTCCCTCTACAGGTCCTAAACTCAATACTAGCAGCATGATTTCTTAGTTTATCCTTGTAATATTTATGAATGTGATTCTTTGTAGCCCTAAGGTCAAAATATGTTTTCTCGGGGGAAAAAAAAAGTCCAAATATGTAGGAATGATTTGAAAATATGTGATTATTGCACTCCTTTTTGGCCCTGTGAAACAGCTTATTATTGCTTGCAGTTTGAACGTTTATTTTGTGGATCCGGAAATAAAGTCTTGGAATTTATTTTAGTGTTGGCGTAATTAGCTGATAGCTTACTTAATGCCAGGGTAAGCAGGGTTGTTTCGTGAGTTGTTAGCTACTCCGTATTAGATTATATGATTTTCTAACTGATTTGGATTTTTTTTTTAAATTATGTAGTACACATATCTCAATATAATTCGATACTAACTTGCTGAAGTAATTGACTACGAATTCGAATAAATAATCTTGCCCAATGATTTGGGAGTAAATGTTAAGAGCATTCAAAACCTAGCTCAAGGTATCGATATCCATGGATTTGGGATGTTTTCCACTAGACGATAATGAAAATAGTATGAAAGAAAGAAGCTTTAACAAAATGTGTAACCTGTTCTTCATTGCTGAAAGGTCTTCAAGTATATAAGGTTAATTTTGAATTTTTCAACAAATGAGGTACATGATGTATTCAAATTCACATTTTCAAATGACAGAACTGTCTCAAGACAGGATTAAAAAAAAGCAAAATGAATGATAAAATGGTATAACCGTCCGAAGTAGCTTACAACAAAAAGAAGCAACCCATCAAAAACACAATCATGTAGAAAAGGTGACTGGGTCTAGAAATGAAACCGGCAGCCTTGTAGGTTTCAAAGCTGCCTTCTGAAGAATTAGTGGTAAGAACCACAACAATCCAATTACCCTCGGAAGCAATACCAGCTCCTACATACTTGGTATCGTTTAGGTTACCTGAATACTGGGACTTTGTAAAATTCCAAAGCACGAGGGTTGGATCCAAGTTTGGTACGCAGGCAGGCATTATCATGCCATCTGCGGTGTTGCTGATGTTTAAATGGCAATGAGCCAGAAAGTCTGGGTAGTTGGGAAACTGGTTCTCAGTGCCTGGTACAGTGTTGGACCCTGTGCTGTTTGTACAGGGTTGGTCCTTGAATTGGTCAGCCATTTGCTCAGCAAGACATTCTGCATTGTCATTCTTTGTGAAGGCTGTTAAGTTCAATGATGTTCGATACTTGTTGATGCCTTGAAGAAGACTGTCTTCCTCATCTGAAGTAAAGAAAATCATTAGCCAACGGAAAGCATGTACACATCATCAGAATGCAGACCATGTTGTTGAGCAATAGTATTGATCTAATTTGAAAATGGCCCAGATAACAATATCAATTGAGCTAGAATATCTTTAAGCTTTGTTTGGCTGTTTAAACATAAATATTAACAAGCAATCATGAATTTGAAGTCGCAAAATATATGCAATTAAACCCAGAAAAGGTGACTCAGACTGAAGATGTAGGTTTATATACCACTAAGACAATCCAAGCGCATACACACTCAGCTCTGTTAGAATGTACGCCACCAGGCTAACCACACTGGATGGAACGCTTTTGATTGTAGATTTCTTTGCTTAATATAAAACCATAGGAGCAGATGTGTAAATCTGAATACTCTTAGTGAGGCTGGACTATGTTGTACTAAAACGACTTATATCTACCACCAGTCCACCACAATGGTGTTTCGTTTGAGTCAGGAGTGAATGCAATTTTCACACAAGTTTTTCCACCAGGTTGCATTCGGGCTACACAATTACAGTTACGAGCTATTAACAAAACCCAGGGCAGCTTCTATACCCCAAGCTTTTCACATAATCTTAGTACAAATGCCAATTTAGATAAGGCTATTCCATCTAATTCCAGAAACGCAAACTCTTGTAAAAGACTGAATTCTACAGATAATTCGACCATATCATCCCAAAACTCAGCAAAAGCAACCCCACTACATAGCTAATCCTAGTTTTACCGTACACCAATGTGAAGAAAGACTCAGTCATTCACAAATAGGCCCTATTATGCGCGGCCCCTGATATCGAATCAGGATACTGATGCTCTCTCCCCTGGCTTTTAATGGTAATGTCTCAAACAAACTACCACCCAATAAAAACATATCTATATGTTCATCTCACAAATTGTAATACAATACATTTTTCAAAATAATGGATTTTCAATTTTTCATTTTTCACTAGTAATGATTACCCTTTTTGTAACACACCTTCTAGTCTTATCAGATAAAAAACTTTAAGATTAATAAACACAATTAACAAAGCACAATTCTGCAAATTTATTAGCAACCTCCCAGAAAGAATATTAAACATTTTGCTTCTCTCTCCATTAATTCGATAAAACAGGTACCGCTGCAGTATAATTTGAACTAGCAATGCGACAACTAAATTATTAAGGATGTAGCATAAGATCAGTAAGCAAGATCAAACAGAAATTCAAATTCAGATCTGAAAAAACAATCAAGCAATGAAAAAACACAGAAAGCAAGAGCTACCCATTAAAGGAAGTCACTAAAGCAGAAGATTAATTAACTAAAAAGACATGTTTGAGAAAGAAATTAATACCATCAGATCTAACTTGGTGGTTAATTAAGACAATGGCTAGAAACAGAAAGAGCAGGAAAGTGGTGTTGTTGAAGGATGCCATTGTGGTCGGACAGCAAGAGCAAGTGAGCAGTGAAATTGTGCAGCAGATGATTAACTTGGAACAAGAGAGTGCGTGTAGTTGTGATTTCAGTGTTTGTTGGTCTTGTTTGTTCAGATTTGGACATGTTAACAGTTTGTCCACCGACCCTATTTTTTTTATAAGGATGTTGCTAACAAATGTTGCTGCCGCGTTAGATATACATTTAAAACATTTTCTAAAATGGTACACAGTACTTCCTCCGTTCTTTTTTTACTTAACCCATTTTGACTTTTACACTATTCATCACCCCTCCTTTTACCGTGTTTTGTGAATAATATGTAAGAAAAAATATATTTATGTTCGATCATTTTGAATTCGTCTCAATAAGTACTATCATAATCCAATTGGTCTTGTATGGACCCGGTCTACAATAAATTATTGTAGACTCAAAATTTGACACTTTCAAATAATATAATCACATTCTGGATGATATAATCACTTTTTTAGATGATATAATTATCTTTTCGTGAGTCATATTTTGAATTATATAATCTCATATTAAACCATTTAATGAGATTATATAATTATCTTTAGGATGAAAAATTTTAAAAATCATGTTTTAAATGATGTAATTTACTATTTAATACTTTTTATAATGATAAATTCACTTTTTGAGTTATACATTTACATAACAGTTTCAAAATGATATAACCACTTTTGTAGTAATATAATCACATCTCGTATGATATAATCACATTCGTATGGTATACAAGAAGGTTGGGTCTACAATAAGTTATTGTAGACCGGGTCTATTCTAGTCTTTGTAATCATCATATACTCCCTCCGCGTTTTAATAGAGTATAGCACAAATACGGTCCCTAAACTTTAGTATTTGTGCACTTTTGGTCCCTCAACTTTTGTATGTGCATTTTTGGTCCCTCAACCACCATATTTGGTGTTTCTGACCAAAAGTTTAGGGACCTTGCTTAGTCAGCAAAAGTTTAAGGACCATGAGTCAGCAAAATTTTTTTTTTTCCTTTTTTTTCCAGATATTTTTGTTAAAAATATTATTTAATTGTGAGTTGGCAGTAGTCATGATGAAGAAAAGTTAAGGGACTTAAAGAAGCCACGTAGCCCAATTGAATTCCTGTTAATCAAAACTCAGCGTTTCGATTTCTATTCCCTATGCAAATTCATCCTTTGGCGGGATAAAAGCTTCTTTATATATTCTAGAAGAGGTGAAGGGTCATTCATCTTCATCTCAAACAGTAGTAAAAAAATACGAGCTCCATTGGTATGTCTGAGTGGGAATTTGGAGAATCATCGTCGCATAAGAAAGCAAAACTCGAGTCTTTGACATCAGCTAGAGGTTAGTTCATCCCCTATTTCAATTTCTTTTTGTAATATGAAGCATACCCTGTTTGTGTGTTCGTAAGAGAGTGAGGGTTTGATGAAAATGATGAAAATTTTGATTTTTTTTTTGTGTTGATCTACTTAAATTATGCTTCACTTTGTTATTCTCTACAATCGCATGAAATTAGTTGTTGTTTTGTGTGATTTTTGTTGAGTAAGGGTTTTACAGTAAAGATTAGGGTTTTGTATGCTCTGTTTTTTAATGTGATCACATAAAACGGCCAATCTAATAGACGTGTTCACCTAATAACCTAGGTATGGAGGCTTTGGAAGATGCTCACCCACTGATGGCAACCCAGGATGTTCTTGTGATGCATGTGTTCCCCAAACTCCATTGGGTGGACCAGATCAGTGTTGAGAGGGTATGCTGGAAGTGGCGACTATGGTGGACCCTGAGTGTAGACACCCATTTGTGTCTCCCCAAAACCAAACCCAGTAATGAGTACCTTTCACGTCGAATCATAATCGAATGAAGCGAAAGTGTGGAAAGTCTAGTGTTGCGGATAGTTTTAATTTCTTTTCTCTTCTCTCTGTTTTTGAAAACTTATTTTAAGAAAACAGCCAATCTAGTTTGGTTGGTCCATGATATGGGTCCAATAATGGTGTAGTTGGATGGGGCTTGAAAAGAGCTTTCCAACGATATATTATAAGCCCGATTCCGATGAATATTGAGGAAGTTATGGCCAATTTACTAAACTAGGCCCGGTTTGAGCCTTATATGCGGCCCAATGATCTAGGGGAGGGCCTAATATGATTTATCATTCCTAATGCAATTAGGAATGGTTTTAGTCTTCTAGGTTCTTCTAGAAGGTTCTTTTCATTCCTAATTCAATTAGCATTGATAAATTGACTTTTGTTGACTTTTTAGAGTTTTAATTAAATTCAAAGAGCATTTTTGAGGAAAAGATACCATTTTATCCTCCTGTACGGCAAAATTTATCTGATTTTAGAAAACGCGTCATAAACAGGACTAGCGCCTAACGCCAGACATTGGCGCCTGGCGCTAGGCTTGGCGCCTGGCGCTAGCATTGGCGCATGGCGCTAATGTTGGCGCCTGGCGCCAATAAGCTGGCGTTGGCACCAGCTCTATTTCAGTTGCGCTAATGCTCTGTTTTGTTAATTTTATCTTTTTGGATGATTTTCTCTATAAATAATGTATTAAAAACTCCGTTTTCATTCACCTACAACCAGTTTTCATTCACAATCATCAATTCTCGCATTCTAATCCATCTCTTTCTTTCTCTCTCTCTCTCTCTTTTCTAAACTTGCTCTTTAAATACAAAATTCCGCATTCACAAGATCTAGAAACACCTAGCCATATTTGTCCTAGACGTGAAAGGTTTAATTTCTGAGGGCTTGGTCCCAAATCTCTATTTCAATTATCTAATTTAATTGTTTGTTTTATTATTTTCCTTGAAGTTACTAACGTGTGTATTTTGTTATTAGAAAGAGGTACGAGGCATCAAAGTAAGTACTTAAATGGGTTTTATTGATATTATGATGTAGAAATCATGTTTAAATTGTTATTATGATATTCCTAGTATCATGTCTAGGGTAAATTTAATATTAAATATGATTGTTACGATGCTTCCTATGTTATTCCTAATACTTATGATTATTAGTATCATGTTAGGGTTAAAGATTTGATTTTTACTGCTTAGTGACATGCTAGTATTTGTTATTAATCTTGTTAGTATCATGCCTAAGATCTGGCTATTATTATGCTTTAATATTAACATGAACATGATTATGGTTATAATGATTATAATTCAGGATGATGATTATGAATATTATTATTATTATTATTATTATTATTATTATTATTATTATTATTATTATTATTATTATTATTTTGATGATTATTATTTTATTTATGACGATTATTATTATGATTATTATTTTTATGATTATTGTTATCTTGATGATGCTTATAATTTTATTGTCATGATATTTATTATTATTATGTTGCTTGATATTTATTGTTATTGCTTGATCACGCCTTTATGCATGCTTAAAGGGAATTTGTGCTTGTAATCACGCTTAATAAGATAAATAATAATCTTGTTTAGGGTTAATATGATTATAATTCAAGTGATCACCAATAATAGATTTATTTGTGCATTAATATTCAACCAACATAGATAAACAGGTTTAGGGTTAATCCTATTGATTGCATGTTAGTCAAAAAGCGCACATGAATACGATCAGAATAAAGTAGAGGCCTATTATTAGGGCAAGTTCAATCTCTTTTAGGTTGGATTTGTACCTTCATCCCCGAACCCTTATTTGGTTCAAGACCTTATGGAGTTGACGATCTCTTGGATCGTTAAGGGGTGTAACCTTCACTCTGTGAACGGTTTACAAGTTCCTAAAACTTGTTGGCGACTCTTTTGCTCTATCTTCTTTCCCTTTTGGACGCCACCGTACTTTAGTGTATGATCACAGTGGAGTTCAAGCTAGGGGATTAACGCTTGAAATTTATTCCCTACACTAAGGCACATTGCACCCTACCTCCCATACCGCATTCACCATAGGAATGAGTTGAGGGATTGGGTTCTGAATGACATTCTCTACAACTTTGGGAGGGACTTCTTTGCGTGGATTGAGAAGGACATGACAGTGTACTTCGATGGCTTTCCACTTCTATTCAAGGAGGATTATAATGTTGTAGGTGGGGTAGTAGGTGGGGTGGTAGGGTAGGTAGTTTTTTGCTTATGGTATCAGCTGGTTTTTGTGTTGTTAATAGATGGTTTAGGTAGTCTTTTGACATTGTCATAGCTTAATGTATGTATGTAGGTTGAATATGACATTCATGATGGTATTTTTTGGGTATGTCACTGCTATGACATTGTATGATCTTACTTAATCAGATTAGGCTTCATTTAGTGATCTAGGATGATGTAGTTGTATGTAATTCAATGAAGCATAATGTAGGGTATTTTGTAATGACAATTATGATGATTATATTAATGAAAATGAATGCTTTTATTCTGTTTACTTAAACCTTAATCTATTTTGCATTTAGCTTTAAATGTATGTTTGGTTTAATTGATGACATTCATGTTCATGTGTGTGATCACATGGTACTAAAGAAAGTTGTGTACTTAGTTGAATTGCCATTGCTAAAAGCTGTCCATTCTTTTGTCAGATTATGGAATTAAAATCTTGCTTGATTATACATCATGGTGGTCAGTGGCAAATTGGATGTGAATCATTTTACTTGGGGGGAAAAATAAATGTGTTTGAGGATATACTTGCAACTGTGGATGCTGACTATGTCAAGAAGTTAATAGATGGTCTGGTATATGATGATATTGTTAAGGTCCATTTCTTAGATCCTAGGAAAGATTTTAACTCAGGGATTAGGTACCTAGGTTTTGATAAAAATATATGTGATCCTTTCTTGAGTTTACTTCTACAATACAAGCTCATTCACATATATGCAGAGCATCAGGAACATATCAATCCTTTATTTCAGAATTTAGGGAGAATGGGTAGTTTTATGAGTTTGTTAACAACAGACATTGGGGAAGATGATGAGCATGCTGAGAGGTCAAGTGAAGGAGTGAATTTGCATGAACAGGAGAATATTCCTAGGCATGACCAAGCTGATATAGATTATGACACTGAAGGGACTGATGTGGATGATGAGGAGTGTGTGCAAGCAAGGTGTGAGATAGCCAATGACAAAAAAAAATGTGGTTTCTTATGAGGATGAGTTGGAGATGTTGAGAAAGGTAGCTGCATTTAATGGTTTGGGAG